ATAGACTTGGTGCCTTTGTCAAAGATCAGATGGCTGTAGGTGTGTGGGTTGATTTCTGGATTCTCTATTTTATTCCATTGATCAGTGTGTCTGTTTTTATGCCAGGACCATGCTGTTTTGGTTGACTTTAAACTATACTAAAAAACACTTTTTAATTACACGAGTAATTAATAAACCATCACAATGAGTTTTATTTATCAGTGCAGATTTTTCTTTTTCATCTAGCAATTATCTTACCATTAGAGATTGTATTTGAGCAAATCAGCCCTTCTTTTGAAGTGGGGGCACCCGTTTGGAAGATGAGTCTGTACATCCTATGGGACAGTCAAGTGTAGTATGAACTTGGCTTGCATTCTGTGTACAGCCTTGCTGAGGGCCAGAGGGAGGGACACACACGAGCTCCTCGATTGGGAAGCTTGGCTTGGAGTTGGTGGATGGCTTCTGCAGGTGTGTGGAGTAGGGTGAAAAAAGAGCATTATTTCACCTACTGGGATGGGATAGGCTCAGAAAGGAAGAATCTGAAGAGATCACAGACGAATTTCAGTTTGCTCTTTGTCTGGGCCCCTGCTTGTAGTCTTGACAATGCAAATCCTTTACCTCATTGTAAGGCCATTATGAGACTGTCTTGGATATGGCCACCCCTTTTTCCTACTCATCCTACTTAAAAAGAAAATGTGAGAATGTCGGCGTTAGGAACCAGAAGACAAACTGTTTATTTGTACCTCTTGGTTTAACACAAGTCCAAGTAACTTTCTTATGTGATGGTGAGTTGGCAGGACAGATTTCCTCTGGAATATTTCTGTCAGAACTCTGGTCTTTGATGTGTTCTGCACATGAATCGGCCTCTTTGTAACCCATGTTACCTAAAGAATTTTAGGAATTTCCCTTATTGGTTCTCCATATGTGCCCTAGCCACTGCATTCCCAAGGTGAAGTTATAGAGCTGGTTTACCAGGGAGGAGATGGTGAACTCGGAGGATCTCCCCAGTTCGTCGTTGGCTCACTAAAGCAGTGGTGCACCAGTGCCCAGTCCCTGCAGGGTGATGTCCACACCCCATCTCCCCTGTCCAAACGTGACTGCTTTCTCATTTCCTTCCAGGTTGCCTGGCTCCTCTGACTGATGGCATGCTGAGGTACATGGGCCAGTGGCAGCGAGGGCATCCAATCCAGAGAGGGCCACTCTAGAAGCCAGGCCACCAGCACCATGGGGCAGTGTGTCACCAAGTGCAAGAATCCCTCATCGACCCTAGGCAGCAAGAATGGAGACCGTGACCCCAGCAGCAAGTCACACAGCAGGCGGGGTGCAGGCCACCGTGAGGAGCAGGTGCCACCCTGTGGCAAGCCAGGTGGGGACATCCTTGTCAATGGGACCAAGAAGGCAGAGGCTGCCACTGAGGCCTGCCAGCTGCCGACGTCCTCAGGAGATGCTGGGAGGGAGTCCAAGTCCAATGCTGAGGAGTCTTCCTTGCAGAGATTGGAAGAACTGTTCAGGCGCTATAAGGACGAGCGGGAGGATGCAATTTTGGAGGAGGGCATGGAGCGCTTTTGCAGTGATCTGTGTGTCGACCCCACGGAATTTCGAGTGCTGCTGTTGGCTTGGAAGTTCCAGGCTGCTACCATGTGCAAATTTACCAGGTTAGTCACCAGTACTTCATGTCACCAGCTGAGCAGGAAGGAAAGGGAACACCACTGGGCAGTGGTGCCCAGCTAGGCTAGAGTACTGGGCTGGCTTCCTATGATTTGGAGTAAGTCTTTTTTTCTTTTTATGACCAATTCCTCTAAAGCTTATATATTCTGTGCTAATAAGTTGTGGTTCTGATCCACAGAAGCCCCCTTAGACTCTCCTAAGGGTTTAAAAAATATATACTTGGCTCTCCAGCTGACCTACTGAATAGGAATGGGGGGAGTGTAAGGCTTGGGCATTTCATTTTGATAAAGCTTCATATCTGGCTCTGAAGTGTACCCCATGTTTCTTCTTGCAGAATAAAGCCTTTGCCTAATTCATAGGTCACATTTCAGGCGTACCGTAGCATCACCAGGCAGCTTCTGAGTAACTGAGCACTGGTCAGCTTTGCCTTAAGTTAAATGAGGAGTGATCCAGGGTGCTGCTGTTGCCAGGCTGCTGCTCAGCGCTTCTGCTGTCCTGACCTGTTTCCTCTCCCTCCCTCCCTTATCAGTTCACTCTCTCAGCGGTTATTGATGTGCCGGGTACTGCAAGTATCAATGCAGTGAATGCCTCTGGGAATGTGCCTCTGTCACAACATGAAGCCAGTGGCCCCTTCTAGCCCTGAGCACGTTGCCCTCAGTCAAACCTGTGTGCAACAAGGTCAGCTGGCCCCAGTTACCGAACAGTGGTTGTCCATGTCATATGGTCCTTCATCCCTGCAGGGGTTGTTTGTGGGTGAGGACATGGCAGGGTCACCCCAAGGTGCAGTTTGTAGAGCACAGGGTTATGAATAAGAACTGACTTTGAACCAGTTACCGAACAGTGGTTGTCCATGTCATATGGTCCTTCATCCCTGCAGGGGTTGTTTGTAGGTGAGGACATGGCAGGGTCACCCCAAGGTGCAGTTTGTAGAGCACAGGGTTATGAATAAGAACTGACTTTGAGACCCAGCTGTACAATTTCTAGTTTATCTGCCCCCCCAGTAGGTTGCCCTCCAGACCTCAGATGCCCCCCTCTTCAGCGGACACAGCAGTCCCTGGGAAGATGAGCAGTCCCTGGGAAGATGAGCCATGTGAGACCATGTTGTAAGCTGAACGTGCTGTACGGATGTTAAAAATACATACACAATTTTTGTTTTTTAATCACAGAACTTTGATCTCTGTTGGCAGTGTTATGCACATTCATCCAGAATCGTTGGCTCCAAAAATCTCCCTTGGCAGTCACCAAAAATATACCAAAAACAAACAACCCATAGAGCAGCAGAAGGGAAGCAGGAAGCCTCCCCGTCTGGGAGGAGAAAGAGTGCAGCTTCGTCACTTTGCAGAGTGAGCAGCAGGGCAGGGGGCAGGAGGCGTGAGTGTAGCTTCGGGAAGATGACTGAGTAAATGAGTGATCCATTACCTGCTGCCCACCATGTGCCAGACACTGCCAGAAATGGTTGCATTTATGAACTCATTTAGTCCTCACCAGAACCTGTGAAGGAAGGTGGCATTCTCACCATTTGACAGACGAGGGAATAGGACGAATTGGTGGAGGAGCTGGGTTTCAAATCTAGACCATCTAGCCCCAAAGCCATGTTCTTAATCACTATACTGTATTGCCTCTCATAGATGGTATTGTATAGAATTATTCACTGTGCCCTCTCCTTCCTGTTGCAGGAAGGAGTTTTTTGATGGCTGCAAAGCAATAAGTGCAGACAGCATTGATGGGATCTGTGCACGGTTCCCTAGCCTCTTAACAGAAGCCAAACAAGAGGATAAATTCAAGGATCTCTACCGGTTTACATTTCAGTTTGGCCTGGACTCTGAAGAAGGGCAGCGGTCACTGCATCGGGAAATAGCCATTGCCCTGTGGAAACTAGTCTTTACCCAAAACAATCCTCCAGTGTTGGACCAATGGCTAAACTTCCTAACAGAGAACCCCTCGGGGATCAAAGGCATCTCCAGGGATACTTGGAACATGTTCCTTAACTTCACTCAGGTGATTGGCCCCGACCTCAGCAACTACAGTGAGGATGAGGCCTGGCCAAGTCTCTTCGATACCTTTGTGGAGTGGGAAATGCAGCGACGTCAGAGAGAGGGGGATGGAAGAGGCGCACCCAGCTCAGGGCCAGAGGGCTTGTGTCCCGATGAGCAGACTTAGTGGCTCTGTCCCAGGAGCAGCAGCAAGACTCTGCCCGCTGCCCTGCAGCCAGCCAAGGAGTTGGACCTCTCTGGAAATCACTAAAGATCCAGATATTTTCTACTTTACACCTTTCTCTGCCTTGTATCTGAAAGGGCTCTAAAATGCTGTATCATGTTTTAGGCACTTTCTTCACTTTTTGGTTATTTTGGTTATTTCTTTTTGGTGGGAACTAAAGATCCAGATATTTTCTACTTTACACCTTTCTCTGCCTTGTATCTGAAAGGGCTCTAGAATGCTGTATCATGTTTTAGGCACTTTCTTCACTTTTTGGTTATTTTGGTTATTTCTTTTTGGTGGGAATCCCCCAAAATATTTGAACCTGGTTACATGTTGTGTACCTTTTTTTGAAGCCTTCAGATAGAATAAGCCTGCCATTTCTTGCACAAATTAGATTTTTTTTGGTGGGGGAGGGTGTAGAGCAGGGTGGGGAGGGAGTGGGACTGTTAGGCTGAATTAACATGACAAAAATGATGCCGTGCCAGATCTCAGTTTTGCATATTGTTTTTCAGGGCAGGTCTGTACTGTGTGTAGTGCTGTTTACATGGTTGAATTTAGGTTGTGATAATTATTTTTAAGGATTTACACAGATTTGAATAGCAGTGTTAACTGTTAACCACATTGCATTAATCCCAGACGATTTAGAGCTCTCGAGAGGGAGCCAAGGCCAGCCAAGAGCATTTGTAGTCTGGTGACAACCCCCTTTAAAGCTAATTGATCCGAAACCCTTATTCCCCTCACTTGCTCATTCCTTCTTTGACCTATTGCATGTTGAGTATATCCACCAACATGCTGCACCTGTCAGTCAAGCGAGCAATTTTTTTTTTAGAACACATTGTACTGAGAACCACTTAAGCGTTGAATGCAGAGAAAGCAGTGCTACCTCAGTTTTGCTGGAAGTAGACTTCTTTGATAGTTTTCTTTCTTTGATGAAGTTTCTGTATTTTCATGTTGTAAGTGGAAATACTTTTTTTTTTTTCCCATTTGCCTTGGAGCCAAAGTTTCAGTTCTTGGGGGTCGGAAAACTGTGCCTGCCGTCCACCTGACTTGAAGGAAAACTGTGGTATGGAGCTCTGCTTGAAATTTTTTTTTTTTTTTTAAATTTCTTTCTTTGAGTATCATCACCTTACTTGTCTGGCAAGTGCAGAAGCCTGGGGCTGGCCTGAACTCTGCCAAACAAATATCAAAGTGTATTTAACAGTTAAATGTGTGCCCTTTCCCTTCTTGCTGCACCCATGTTGTCACTTAACCCCCAGGAGTTATTTATTACCTTTTTGTTAATGTCAGGCTCATTTGGGGTAATGTGATGACTGTTTAGGTTTACATGACCCTCCTCTCCTTTCCCTATCCCCTAATATGTATATATACATATATAAAATATGTATATATTTTACCTATATAAAATATATATATACACATATATGTATCTATATTCCTTTGTTTCTTTGCCTGCTAAAACTGGCCATCAAAGAGGGAACTGCCTTCAATATATAAAGTATAAGAAGAGTGCCAGGGAGCGTCATGATGGAGGCTTTTGAATCTGAATTTGGACCATTTTCAGTAAAGAGAACACGAGTTTGCTCAGCCCTTTCCTCACAAGAGAGGGCCCAGTTCCCCAGACTCGTCCTGCGCTCGTGCTCACTCCCTAAGGCCAGCTTTGGCCAAACTGCCACAGGCGCCTGAGGAGCTGACTTTGGTCCTACCTGGTTTCAGTACTGAGTCCTCATTATTTTATCACTTAAAAAAATATGTCCTCAAAAACTGTAATGGAAGGTGGGTGGCAGGAAATTGTACAGTTCAGCTTCCAACACTTTGGAACAGATTAAAAGGATTATTTTAAATAAAAACTTTAAAAATATTTATACTCTTGAGGTAATGAGAGCTTATCTATTAAATGTTTAGAATTTTCTCCCCTAACTGTGCCCATTTCCTCCCCAGGTATAAGTTTCTCAGCCTGGGCAGGAATTCCATTTTTTGAGTTCCTTTATTAGTAGACTGACAGCTCTGGGCTCCCATCTTTATAAAGATGATTATTTAAGGAGTTTTGGCAGTTGGTGTCTTTCTAAAATTGATAATTGACATAGGGAACATGCATGGAATTTTTTTCTTTTTTTGAATTTTGTTTTTAAATCTGATAGTTTTGCCCCTTGTAGAGGGGCAGAAAGGAAAGTTTAAAATCAGCCTCAGTAGGTTAGCAACACTGCTGGGAAGCTGAAGGGGGCTCTTAGGCCAGACGTCTGGCTTTGTTCTAGCTAAATAAGACACAAGATTCTTGCATAAGAGTCTATGGGGGCCCCAGCAGGTTCTGTGGGCTCACTGTAGTTGGGGTACCCAGAATAAGTCTTAGACTACCTTCTCACCCAGCCAGTTTGCAACCCCCCATTTTTCCTGGTTCTGGACTGGGTAGAGGTTGAGTGAGGGAGTTCTTTCTATCCCAGATCAGGAGGGTGTGCAAGAGACGTGCCCAAAAGACGGAGGCAGCTGAGGACCGTGAGGATTCTGCAGGAACTAGATTCCTTCCCCAGCCTACAAGAAGGCATTCCATGAATTAAGTGTACTAGAATGGGTGGATTTTATTTTGTTTTTTAATTATTCAACTTCCCTACCCCCCACAAAAGAGCCATTTAAAAAATTGGTTATATTTTTAATGATCCATTTGTTACAAAGATGCAAGTGGATAATCAGGAAAGGGAGCAGTTTGGGAGGGGACTTAATAGGTTCCTTACAGGTTTGAGTCCCTGATGCTGAGCAAGGATTTCAAGCTTCTGCAGTATCTCTGGGCCAGTGCTTGACTCATGACCACAGGAAAAGCAGTTTTTCTGCAAAGGGATCCAGGGTGAGGTGTGTATAGGGCTTGCAGTTATACTTCTGGGAAATGGAAGGCCTTGTTCCTCTCAACCTAGAAATAGGATTGCCGCTTAAAGAGTGAGCAGTAATTCTGTGGAGGAGGCCAAATGCACACCCCTCAGGTGAGCCAGTGCACCCCTCACTTTAGCAGTGTAACACCAGGGTGATGTGGAGAGGAGCAGGCTGTAGATGCCACTTTTAAAGTTGGCAACACCTGAGAGTGACTACAACAAAGTGAATATATGTGCTGGGAAATGGCTTGGTTTTGGCAAATGGCTTTGTCTGTGAGCTTCTGTGGTGTTTCTTTAGCAACTTATTAGAAAGCTGGTATGAGATGAAGTGTTACTTCACTGAATTGCTCTTTCCCCTGCCCTTGCCAAATTTAAATGTATCATTCTTAACCCCACCTCCTGTAATGAACTCAGCTGATTGCCTCAGCAGCTCTCCCCTTATCCTGCCAGATGTGCCCACATGTGTGAGTTGGGTCCAGGAATCCATATCTGCCCTTCTGATAAGGGAATAAGGAAAGTATAGATTTGGGTGAAGATCTAAATGTCAGTAAACCCCCAGGCCCAGGGAAATACAACTGAAAATGTACAAAGTAGTGTTTTTAATATTAAACTTCCCTAAGGTGCAAACTAACCTTCTTGGGCAGGAAGGATTAAGCCACACAGTATTAGTCAGTCTTTGAAGCAGTACTAATCTGCCAGGGTCTGGTGCCAAAATGCAGTCCTCAGTGCTGGAGGCTGCAGGGTGTGGGACCTTATATAGTTCACTTGATGGCCTCATAAATAATATACTATGCCAAATTGTATGAAACGGTGGTGGGAAATTACTGGGATGAAGACTTGTCTAAAAGTTTACAAACCAAAACAGATCTCTGTTTAGGACTGTTTGGTTTACTATATTTCAAGTGAAGTCTTCACTGCAGTGAAGCCCAAACGTCGTAATAATTATACAATTATAAGGTAAGGGCCGGAAGAAAGCTGCTGTTAGATTTTTTCGTTTCCTGCTTTGGTATTTTTCTTGTCTGTTTGGTTAGTGATGACTTGAACATGTTGGTAAACTGACAAAGGTCTTCCTTGAGGATTCCACCAGTGTCTTGTTTAAATGGCTGAAAGAACTATGAAAGCTACTGAAGGGTATTAATTGGAGGGTATCATTTGAGGACATCTGACATTGATCCTCCTTTTATTCCACAAATTTCCTGAGTCACATATAGAGGGGGTTCCCACTCACCTCCCCTCACAGTTTATTCCCATGGTAAGCTGTTACTCAGCATATGCCCAGTTTAACCTGGACTAGGAGTACATGTCAGGGAGGATCAGCTTTTTTCCCTTTTTGAAAGACAAAATAAATTGGTGCTTGAGCACTAGTTTCAGAAGCCAAGATGGTTAGAATAGCTTTAAGTAACCGTTGGTTTCTGCTTCTGATTCAGGTGCTGGGTATCATGTCTTCCCTATTCCTCTCATGGAAAACCGGCCTGCTCCCATAGATACTTACTTCCACCACCTACCTTCTTTCCCCACTCCTTACGACACAGGTCTTGGATATTGCCAAAGGAAGCCATTCAGCAGCTGCTGTGGTTTTTTTCCCCCAACGTATATACATTTTCTCTGGGAAAAATGTCTTCCCTTTGACCCTGGTCCCCAGTCCGATTACTTGCTGTTTACCTGTTGCACTAATGAATATGATCCTAAGTTTCAAAGGGGGAAGTTGAAGCAATAGGCAAATGGGGCTTGGATGAATTGGTCCTGTAGGTACCCTGCCTTAAGCCGCCGAGGTGATGAGTCCACTGCTCACGTGACCCTCCACCTTTGTGGATCCCTCTTGGTTTGTGACGAGTGTATCTGTTTCTTGAGTTTGTACAAATTTCACAGAAGTTAATACTTTTGTTTGTATTCTCTGCACTGTTGCACTCTCCAAGTAGCCCCTTGAATATCTTTATTGTTACCCACATTTTTGTCTTGGATGTCTACCTTTTTTTTCCTTTGATGTTTTTTTATTTGGAAGGTTACCTGCTGTTGAATTTAATAAATTTGTTTACTTGCCTATTGACATTTCTGAAGAAACAAACGATAACAGTGACTTTATTCTGGGGCAAGATTAACCCCCCTGGGAGCCTCTACAAACATGATATTGAACAATTCCTATGCTTTGGAAAGTAATCCAGATAGTACAGGATCCTCAGACTCCAAAGATATGGGTATTGATCTCCCATACACCAAGCTAAATGGAGTGGCGTTTGGGAGCCCAGTACTTACAGGCAAAGAGCAAAGGAGTCCTCATAGAGCCACTACCTAAATAG